AGGACCTAATGAACCAAAACAACTGGAGAACTCAGGGCAAGTACCATATTTCTGACATTCACCACAGCTTTATTTTGTTCTGCCTGCAGTGTGTGCATGTCACCCATACCAAACCCTGAGGCAGTAAAGGTGCTGCTGAAAACCACAAAGCACCCCAAGTGATCGTCCAGAGTAGATTAGTATATGGGTGACCCAACTGCATATGCCATGTCTATGGAGAGGCAGGATAGGGAAGGGACATGAGTAAAGTTCCTACAGTGAGAACACCTGAGCTGGACATTACACACATACACACGCTTTGTGGTCATGGATGCATTGCTTCATTTCATGTCCTCATCTGAAAATGATCATGGTGACAACCTTCTCTAGGTCACAGATCTGGAATGAAGATCAAATGTGGTCCATTCATGGAGAGAACATAGAACAGTGCCTGGTGCACTGTAATGACTCAATACATGTCAGCTGGAGTGTAGTTTACAGTTTGTGGGCAGTAACTTTACAAGCTCTTGCTGATGACTGCCCACCTTCAGCTATGGTTCCTGTGTAAGAAACTGGATCACAAGAAGTTGAGGAAACTCTTCAGCTACAATTATTTGTTAATTAAAGTTGTAAGGTTTTTTTTTTTTGTTTGTTTGTTTGTTTTTTCAGTCCTATCTGGAGACAGGGTCTTGATAAATAGGCCTTTACATATATCATCCAGTGACATATTTTGCTTGTTTGCTTTAAATCATTTGTTATATAATGCATTCTATTAAGTACTCGTGACAATGTAAATGCTTTTGCCTGGCCAGCATGGCTCAATGGTTGAGCAGTGACCTATAAACCAGGGCGTCACAGTTGAATTCCCAGTTAGGGCACATGCCCAGTTTGTGGGCTCCATCCTCAGTGTGTGTGTGTGTGTGTTTTAGGATGGGGGTGGGGGGAGACTGAGAAGAAAGGGGGATGCCGGGGCGGGGGGGGAGGGGGGAAAGAAGCAGCCGATCAATGATTCTCTCTCATCATTGATGTTTCTATATCTCTTTCTCCATCTTCCTTCATCTCTAAAATAAAAATATCTTAAAAAAAAAAAAAAAGCTTTTTAGACCCTTTTGTCAAAAATATTTTTTTGTGAATGTATCTTTGTTGTTGATGTTGTTGGAGTATTTTTACTGTAATAGCAAAATTGATACTTGTCAAGTTGACACTTACTAAATCTCATTGTTGGAATTATTGTGACAGCTATTAAGGTTGTAGGGATAAAGATTAGGCCCTTGATTGGTTTGGGGAATGAGAAAGGTGCTAAGTTTACCCTAACATGTTATGATTATTAATAATTAGCTTTTCATAGGAAGATATTTGGGTCCTGATTTGCTTATCAACTTGGAAAATATGACTAATAAATTGACCAAAATAATAACCAAGGTAAGCCAGTATCTCTGCGGGCTTAGGGACAATGAAGAGGCTATGCCCAGAAGAGTCCACAGGTGGCACACAGAAGGAGGACAGCCAGCAGCAGCTGGCAGAAACAGACTGAGACCTCTCTAAAGGCTGAATAGACCATGTGGGCTACTAGATCCCCAGGTGGGGAGGCAGCCAAAAGCTTTTATTTTTATAATGGTCTGATTCCAGAATCACAGCGGCGACAATAGCTCAGACATGGGGCGCACTGTGCCCACAGCTCTAAAATTAAATCATAATGCTTAAAGCTGGCAGTTATATTCCTCTAAATCCATTTTTAATTCCAAACAAAATACTCTGAAGAGAATTCTGCTCTACCACCAACCACTCTCATTGGTTTAATTGGCAAGATGGACCTAGGCCAAGCCGTGTTAAATAACACCCTTGGGTTCCTGTGACCTTTTTTTTCACAATTTATGACTCCCCAGTTCTTTGGGATATATTGCCTGAGGAAAGGGATTCTACATTATTTAAAATTCTACTTAAATAGAAATCTCTTATTCAATTACTCTTGATTTTTTTTTCAAGTGCCTACAAGTTTAAATCCACTTTTTTTCTTTTTTTCATTTAGGGATGTCCAAGATAATGATCATGATTGAGTTTATTTCTTTTAAATTTGGTGACTAGAACTTTTTGAGACTCCAGTGTCACATTCTGAATGACTGCCCAACTTCAGGGCTGTGAGGAAGAGGCAGGAGACTAAAAGAGTGGAAATCACCAGGACTCTCTTTCTTTAATTTCAGCTTTCCTTCTCCCAGGTGATTTGATTGCTGAAAATATCGTATAAAGAAAAACATGCAGCCAAAACCGGTTTGGCTCAATGGATAGAGCGTCAGCCTGCGGACTGAAGGGTCCTGGGTTCAATTCCGGTCACAGGCATGTACCTTGGTTGGGGACACATCCCCAGTGGAGAGTGTGCAGGAGGCAGCTGATCAATGTTTCTCTCTCATCGATGTTTCTGACTTTATATCCCTCTCCCTTCCTCTGTAAAAAAAAAAAAAAAAAATCAATAAAATATATTTTAAAAAAAAAAGAAACACATGTGTATAAGGAAGTAAAAATGGAATAAAGCGTTCTCATCTGGTATCTCTTATAACAAAGGCTGTCTGTGAGTGAAAGACTAGGAAGTGTTTCAGTGATAGGGAAACATTCATTTGAACCAGTAACTTTGGGCACACTACACAGCTGCTGTTAGTCACTCACTCAGGTCAAAACTTGCTAATCCCATTAACTCGCTATGCAGATCGAAACTGAGCATGGAGCTAAGCTTTGAATGTTCAATCTATCTGAGAGCGAGGTAGCTTCTGTACACTTAGATCCGAGAAGCTTTTGTACCACTACAGGTGAACATGAAGAAACAGAGAGATGGGGAGAAAGACAAAAATATTCCGACATATGGGTAGGAATGGAACTGACAGATGGGAACCATTCCTGTTCTAGAAAGGCAGATTGGGGAAGAGAAAGATTTCTGAACCAAATTCAGGGATGTGGTGTAAAATTATGCCATAATTTTTGGGTCTTAATGTCATAAAACACTTTTTACCCTATTCCTCTCAATCTTTGGGAAAGGTGAGCAGAAAGGGAAAAAAAATTACATATATTTTATGCATGGAATGATTCAGGGGATGACATATTCCTTCCACTGCCATCCTAAAAGGACTCCAAGGAGCCTGTCACTCAATTCCACCATAAATTCCACCTTCTAATTGCATCAGCCCTCAGCTAAAAGGAGGCAACCCTTTTCTGAGAATTGTAACACCAGAGTAAAAATTATTTTATCCTTTCCTTCCTAATAGGACAAAAATGTGCTAGGATAGGTCTATGAGTGCAGGGAGCTGAGTGTGCTGGCACCTGGATGTAAAAAAGTGGTCCCTAACTAAGACCAGGAGATTGGGGAAGTAAAGTCTCAGTTCATAAATTCTTCCTGGTTGACCATCTAGCCAAAGGTGAGCCCTAGAGAGGATGCCCAATACACTCCCACTGCTTTTAAAAGCTATATCAGGCAATAGGACCTCTGGCATAGAAAATAAATGAGGGTTTCCTTTGGACTCATCCAATGTTATGCAGCTCAAAGACAACTTGCAGATCTAGTGTGGCTCCCTATTTGTGTAGGTAGAAAAGGAGACCAAGAGGAGAAGGATCCTCAGTCGCACAGCCAAGTTAGTGGCAGAATCAGAAGTAAAACCCTGGGCTCCACACACCAGAGTCAATATTTCCCATTAACTGCAGCTCCCATTCTTATTCCCCAAAGCAGTTCATATCAGATGGGGGACTTTTATAGACAGAAGGTCTAAGAGAACCAGGAGAGGCAGGCCTGGCCATGTGTGTATTTGGTATTATATACCAGTGCCTAAGAAAGCAATGTTTTATTCTCCCTGATTTCAAGGCAAAATAAGGAAATTATTTTCCCAAAAGGACTTGTTATTTGGGCAACCTGGAGTCTGCATATCCCAGAACTAATTGGGATATCTTTTAAAGGTCATTGTTCAAGTGTGTGGCACCCCAGGACAGCCCAGCGGTTCCCCAGCTATAATCAGAAGTGGCATCTCCCTCACATTCCAAGCATTTCTAAATGCTCCTGGGCCGTTCTTGCCCAGGCTAATCTGGACGTGATAGAGTGTTAGATGCAGCCCTGCCAGTCCAGCCTCTCCAGCTTCTGAAACTGGAGGGCAGTGCTTGGCTCCAGTTGACTAACACCATCAGCACTTCATGAAGGAGCTGGCCATATGCAAAAGCTACAGGTAGGAGATAGCCTGGCTAGTAGGCAGAAATCAGGCTGGATTTTATGGTAACAATGTCTGGTATAGCTTCTAGAGGAAGAGCAAAGAAAGTGAAGGTCACCATGGAAATGTATCCTATTGAGTTTGCAGGACAAATTTTAACTGTGTCCATATAGCACTGTCAACATAAAAAGAAGCCCTGACCAGAGATCCTACTTCCAAATAAACACACACACACAAGCAAACAAAAAGAAAAAACGTACCCATCTGATGAATGATTCTATTAGCCATTTACACCGTCCAGCTGACACTCCCTGCTATGGTTCCCTGCTTCCCAAACGAGTATCTGACATAGATTTATGTCCCCAAGGGAGCACACGGGGTCAGAGACCTTAATTAGTCCATCAGATTAAGAGTTGTATTTCTCACTAAACCATTAGCATTCTTATTTATTCACTCAATGCCTTCAAGTTAAAGCAAGAACAAGCAAAAATCAGCTACCAGTTCTTTGCATTCTTGGATCTGAAAAAAATTGAAAACCAGATGTGGGAAGTAGTGAATTCATCAGGTCTCTCCACCTGGAAGATTGTGTCTGGGCAGTGAACTGGCTACCTGCTCAGAGGTGGTTTTCATCATCACACCCCTCGCAGCTGTCACATCTGTCTGCTCAGCAGACACTATTGTTGATGAAGTGTCCCTGTGTATTTGTAGATGTTACAAAGAACAGCAACCTAAAGTATAAAAAGACAGCCTGGAAAAAAGAAAGAAAGAAAGAAAAACAACAACATTCTTGGAAAGCACCACTGAGTACCATGCACTTAAAAGAAAAACAAAAAATAGTACCTGTCTCCTTAGATCTCTTGTTTTCTTGGTCATCTTATCAATTGCAATGTTTAGAGGATCTCCTTTCTCCTTCCTTCCAGTCTATTAAGAAAAGAAAAATAATTTCTGATTTAGAAAATTCAACATTAGTGACATTAAGGGTTGAACATTTTTAGAAACACACATGAGTTGGGGAATCTGAGCGGTTTTATAATAATTTTCAATATACAGCTAATAGATTTAGTCTCTCAACTTTGATTCTCTGAAATATGAATGAAAATCAATACATCCCCAGGATAGTTAAACATAGGTTAATATTCACCTCCATGCAAATCTGTTTTCTTTCCTTCTCCAGATGGTTATCTATTAAGTAAACACAACAAGGATGTCTCATTTTTGCCTTAAAATACTAATATTTTGTGCTATTATGTAAGCACACTTCTGACTAGAAGATAATATTGAGATGTTAAAAACTAAAGTGGAGTCAACCAGAATATGAAACTAACAACACTGAGGACTGTGCAGATGAACACTCCAAAGGGCTAAATGAGTTGCTCAGGCAATGTTGCATTCAGGAAGTCAAGTTAATCTCACAGAGAGGTGGGGAAAGTTAGTTAGAATTTAAATCCTGGGTGAGGTTTAAATAGGAAAGAGGAACCCTGGCAGGTAGTTCAATTGGTTACAGCTTCGTCCAGAAACCGCCAAGGTTTAGGGTCTGATCGCCTGTCAGGGCACATTAAGAATCAATCAATGAATGCATAAATAAATGAAACAACAAATCAATGTTTCTCTCTCTCCCTTCCTCTCTCTAAAATCAATGAATTAATAATCAAAATAATAAAAGGCCAAGAGGCTTCATGACCAAAACAACCAAATGGCCAGTCACCAGGGGGTTCATGGAGCATCTCTCAGCCATATGGACCTAACAACCAACCGGTCACTATGACACTCACTGTGGCCAGGAACCAACTGACCTGACCAGAGAGTGGGGCCCTCTGCCAACCTCTCAGCCCCTCCCCTCTGCCGGCCTGCTCCTGATAGGGACTTTTCCACCCAGATCAAGAGCCAGGCCTGCCAGCCAAATGCTCCCTCCCTTCCCTCACCCCTATCCCCGCCAGCCACACCCCCAACAGCTTGCCCCACCAGAATAGGCCCATATCATTTTCCCCCAGCCCAATAGGGGGAAGGGCTGGGCGGCCAACCTCCTGGGTCCCACATCCCACCCAGTGCACTCAGATTCAGTCTGAGTTCTGAGTCCCACCCAGCAGCGTGCCTAGGGAGTCAGTCTGGGTCCCACCAGCAAGGCAGGTCTGGGTCTTGGGTATTATTGTGCACTGGGTCTCTAGTAATAATAATAATAATAATAATAATAATAATAATAATAATAATAGAAAGAGGGAGGCTATGGTAGCAAAAGAAAGGCATCAAGACAAGAAATAAGAAAGGCGGGTCCTAGAAGGAAGGTGAGTGGGACAGGCAGCCTTTCTCCATGATGCGAAGGGATCAGTTTGACTAGTTGTTGAGGCAAACTGCTTTCCTAAGAACTTCTTTGTAGAGTCATTAGTGCCAACTATATAGTCTGATCTGTCCGCTCCGAGGATCTCTGGTGACATTAGCATCCCACGTCACCGTATTGTCAGGATTCTGTTGGTGTCATATTTGCAATCTTGTTTCCTCCAGCTCCCAAGTCTTTGGCTGAAGGTAATTTTTTAAATAATGTGGATGACTTGGGTGCAATATTTTTTTTCTCTCACTGTTTAGAAAGGCTGGGGAAATGGTAACTCGAGGATTCAAACTTAGGAAATTTAGGCCACTCGTTGAAATTGTGAATTCACTGGTTCTTTGTCAGCTCTAATTTATTTAAATAATGTATATGTGCAGGAATGATGGTAGGAGTTCACCAATGCTCAGATTTACACAGCAAATGGGGTCCAGCAATGTGCCCTTCTATACTTTCCTTTGCTCTGTTACATCCACATGTGGAAATACTTTTAAATTATCAGCTTCAACTGGACAGAAAGCCAATGACAGAGAGAGAGAGAGAGAGAGAGAGAGAGAGAGAGAGAGAGAGAGAGAGAGAGAATGGGAGAGAGAGAGAGTCTTGCCTCCTAGTGTCAGCCTCCATTATTGGGCTCTGTGATCTTGGACTAACAATATGCCCATTTTTTTATGTCTGAGCTTTCTCGTAAGTACTGTGGATAATGTAATATATGCCCTGTCTTCCTCACCAGGCTAGCAGGACAATCAATCATGTTGTCAATGTGCTGGAAACAACAAAAGGCATTAACAATATTCAGGGCAATTAGGAAAGTATTTCTGCAGTGGGGAAAAATGAAACAATTGATTTGGCAAAGACACAGAAACTATTTTTGGATCACCTGGACTTCTGCTTTCTCCACTCAGGCAAACAATGTATGAAAACCTTGCCAAAAACCAGAATTTTAAAAGAAAACATTATTTCTCTTCAAGGCAGAGAAATATGTTGGGGGCTGTTCATTTTCAATAGACCTGTGGTGGGCAAATCGTGGTTCCTGAGCCACATTTGGCTCTCTGGCCCCTTGAGTGTGGCTCTTCCACAAAATACCAGGGCCTGAGTGAGTCTATTTTGAAGAAGTAGCTTTAGAAGAAGTTTAAGTTTAAAAAATTTGGCTCTCAAAAGAAATTTCAATCGTACTGTTGATATTTGGCTCTGTTGACTAATGAGTTTGCTTACCACTGCAATAGACAACTAAATAGATATTTCTAAGAGTTTAAATAAGGACAAAAATTCAATGTCTTGTACATGGGTTCTGGGATACAGGTGTTAAGTGACTGAGGGTTTGATTATTTTGAGCAAATGCTGGTTCCCAGGGAACCACAAAGAAGCCTCACCCAGCTCTCCCTCCCTGGGCCTCCAACCTCTGCAAACTCAAAATAGTTTAGCAAACTGAAGCGAGGTGGCCTAAGTCTTCACTGTGACACGGTCACCTAATAATAAAACAAGAGCTTGGTTTTCCGTCAGTCAGCCACCTATTCCCCGCCTTTGCTGAATAGAAGGAAATAAAACCAGCGGGAACCATTCTGCCAGGAAGGAGGGACCTGGGTGACCTAGCGACTTCTCTAGATTCCAGACTTATCATCAGTGGAATGGAGGGGCCAGGAGGAGTTCTGAAACGGGAAATGTGGGGCCTGAGAAACCATCAGGGACACACAACCTCACTTCCCTTCCAGCAGGGGCGCTCTTGGGACACTGGGGAGCGCTGGGAACTAGTAGACAGTCAGGGACCTCATCTCTAAAAATGTAGGTCAGTGCTTGCTATGGGGATGATTGTGAACATTAAAAGAGCGAGGATCTGTCACCGTTAGCACAGTTCCTAACTCTGGGAGAGGTAACTCCATGTTAGTTTGCTCTCCTTCCCCTCCCCTTCATTCCTCTGAAGGCCCAGAGAGGGGAAGTCATTGATTCCGACCACCTGGCTAATGAGTGTCTGACCAGCGTCTCCAGACTCATCCCAGTCCAGAGCTATTCTCATTCCATGTCTGAAACACCCTTCACCTGTAAAATTCTAGGGTTTTTTGATTTAATAGTGACGGGAATTTCTTTTCAAAGGCTATTAAACAACAACAACAACAACAAAGTCCAGCATTGTGGTTCAGTGGTTAGGAATTCACCCGTGAACCAGGAGATCATGGTTCAATTCCTGTTTAGGGCTCATGCTGGGGGTAGAAGGCTCCATCCCCAGTCGGAGGTGTGCAGGAGGCAGCCCATCAATGATTCACTCCATCATTAATGTTTATTTCTCTCTCCTTCCTTCCTCTCTGAAATCAATAAAAATATTTAAAATAATAATAATAAATAAAAACAACCTCAGTCTGAGGTATAGTCCCTTTGTCACATTCTTTCCACAGACCTGTGGCTTTTCTCAGACTTGCTCCCCACTTGCCTTATAGAGAATGAGTCTGCAATAGAGAATGCCATTTAATAAATATTGTTATTAAAAAAAAAAAAAGGAGAAGAAGGTAGGCGAGAGCAAGAGAGCACTCCCTCACATTGCTTCAGGCGGCTTCCTAGTTGCCATCTGCTGTGCTGGGGAGGGGTGTGTTTATTAAACTGCATCTGTTTCAGCCCTGGAGCACTATTGTACAAAACGCACTTTGGGCAGATCCACAGCTCTCGCTGATGAGAGGGAATGAATTTCTTGATCTGGAATTTTACAGGGAAACCCTTCATTCTCCCATCCTCTGGCTCTACAATTCAAGTTCAATCATCATAGTAATCAGATGCTATCCAGTAAACTTTTGTAGTTTCAGTTTAATGTTTAATCCTACATCAAAGGATTGAGGCCATGTATAGAAATATTAATTTTCACAATTAGTCTTCAGGAAAAAAAAACACTCTATTTTAGTTCAAACACCATTTTGTTCGCTTTTGGCTCAACACTTTTTTGTAATACTACCCTTTGCCTCCTTTTTGTTGTTTTTTAATTAAATATTTAATGTTGAAAGTATTACATATGTCCCTCCCATCATTGACCCCTTCGAGCTAGCCACGCCCCTGCCTCAGGCCTTCACCACCCTATTGTCTGTGACCATGGGTTATGTGTATACCCTGTTTCCCCGAAAATAAGACAGTATCTTATATTAATTTTTGCTCCCAAAGATGCGCTAGGTCTTATTTTCAGGGGATGTCTTATTTTTCCATGAAGAAGAATATGGTACACATTTATTGTTAAATGAAAATAAAGGAAATTTGTTACCTGTATACGGTACGGTAGTATGGTAGTTGTCAACACAAACCAGACAAACTGTGAATCCTACAGTATCAAGAATTTACTCATTTATTCAATTACAATCATGTCATCATTGTCTGGAGCATCATCATAACAATCCAATTCCTGAATTTCCTGGTGAATTTCTTGTGACTCCATTTCTTTCAGAATCAGTGGACCAAATCTCTCATGTTTAGCCTGGGGGGGAGACTTATTTTTGATGGATGCCTTATATTTCACTCAGAAGGAAACCTGTAAGTAGGTCTTATTTTCGGAGGATGTCTTATTGTCGGGGAAACATGGTATGCATGCCAGTTCTTTGATTGATCTCTTTCCACACCCCCACCCTTCCTG